TCCTACTTTTTGATTCAAGTAAGTGGTTTATCTTCTTCATTTTCCTGTTGTAATGCACGATTTTTAGCGTTTGTAGACGTTTTAGGGACTGTGCGCGTAGGACTAGCCCGGTAAACTCATATTTAGCTCGACATATTCATGCTTAGGACCTGCAAACGCATGTTCGTGGCCGGTAGATTCATAGTTTTAGGTAATAATCAGCAGCGCTGCCCGGGGTCTTCATGATCCAGGGCGCCTGATTCATGATCGTGCCCGGTATGTTCATGGTCCTGGCCGTAGGTCTCATGATGTTGCTCGCCATGTTCATATCTTGGGTCGACATGTTGGAGAGTGGCCGCGTAGTCGGTTTGGAGAAGAACACATCGAGTTTTCTGGATGTCGGGGAGGCGACTACTTGTGTAAACTGACTTTTGTGGTCGTGCATGGGACGACGTGGTTTGTCGAGCGTATGGTTTCGTGCCCAATTGACTGGTTTCCCGTGCTCTGCAGGTAACCATGGCGGACGAGCCGTGCTCCTCTGGGTGCCACGAACATGAAGAACAAAGTGTCGATGAGTCGGTCAGCTTGATTGATATTGTCGATGACCCTTTGCTAGATTGGGTGGGCGCCGAGCCCCGAGGGATCGCGTCGATATATAGCCGGCGTGACCGAAATCCGTATGCTGTCCTCGAAGCGGGCCAGGGCCAGCCTGACTTCCAGAAGAATTTCGTTGTCATGCGCCCGACCTCCCGTGCACGGATCTGCTCGGTTGTACCCAGAGTACAGTTCCCGATATACGAGATCGCGTTTAAAGATCTTGGGCTGAAGCTGCCCTTTAGTGACTTTCAGATCAGGGTCTTCACCCATCTGGAGTTGGCCCCGTCTCAGCTACATCCGAACTCACTCGCCTTTATCCGGGCGTTTGAGCTGACGTGTCGCTTTCTGAGGATCGGGGCGACCATACCGCTCTTCTTCAGGATTTTTCATCTGCAGCGCCAGTCTCGAGGAGGGAAACACAGCTGGGTCTCCTTAAAGCAGTCGAGGAGACTCTTCAAAATGTATATGGACTCCGTAAGGGGTTTTAAAGACAAGTGGTACGTTGTGCGGCCAGTTACCACCTCTGCTTTAGGATCCCTGTACGAGGAGGAGGCGCCCATAAGCGATGATGACGGGGAGGCGATTTTGGGCGACGATGGGAATCCCGTGATGGCCCGTACGGCCAAGTTCCCTGTGCACTGGATGTTCAGGCACTACGAGCACGGGACTGGATACTACCATACTGCTGCCGGGGACATGTGCTCGGAGGACGAGGAGGCATACGCCACTCTTTGTCGGTTCGTCGACAACTTTCACCATGCCCGGTGGGCCACGAGGGAAGGGGACGATGTCTTGGATGCAGAGGGTTATCCGACATTTAAGTCCCGGCCGATTGATACTATGGCACTCGTGGAGTGTCAGACGTTCAGGCAGGCTGCTCGTCTGCTAGGTCGTTTATTGCTTGAATTTCTTTGCTCGTCATTTATTTATGAACTTGCTCGATACTAACCCGTCTTTTATTTTGTGCAGGTTCGATGGCCGGTCGACGGGAAAGGCTTTTGAAGCTGTCTCGCGACCAGAAGTGAGGCAGGAGGGTCGTGAAGGCTCCCCAGGCGACGAGGATGGGCCCGCCACACAGTCCGAGCGCTACTCAGGCGGTGAGAGTGGATTCTTCGCCCAGCTCGGGGGCCGCGTCGGACGGGACCCCAGAGGTTGAAGAGGTCGATCCTAATGTCGTCCTGATACAAAGGAAGAGGACTAGGGTGGAAAGCGGTGCGGCTGTCACCGAGGACGCCAGCGCTGTCAGGTCTTTCGGGTTTCCCCCTTGTTTCAAAGAGGAGGGTTTCTTCGAGAGATTCCCTCTGTCAGTGGTTGCCGACGAGGCTGAGACTATCAAAAGGATGAGCAAGGAGGATCGGAAGAGGCATCTGGCCGCCAGCATGGAAGGGCTGGTGAAAATGGCCGAAATGGCCCTGGTGTTGTCCGAGGAAGGGGGGATCCTGTCCGTATTGAGGAACTTGAGCAGGAGAAAGCGGCTCTCACCTCGAGCTCCCGGAAGTTGAAGACTGCCCTGGAACGCTCCGAGGAGATGTTCCGCGAGCAGACATCGATGCTGGATGCTGAGAGGGAGATGTTGGTCCTGGAGAAAGAAAGGTCGGGGAAGCTGGCCGAGGAGGGGGAGCTTCTCCGCGCGGACAGGGATCGTCTGGAGACCGAAGTCGGGCGCTTGGCCCAACAAATCGAGGAAATGAACGTTGTCATGCTACCTGCCGAGGACGAGCCGGAAGACATAGCGGCTTTGAAGAGTCGATCGGAGCTGGTCCCCCATATCCGGCTACTCGAGGCAGATTGCGTCGGTGCTCTGGAGGAGGGGTTCGACTCCGCAGTCGGTCAGTTTTCCTTGTTAAACCCTGGTCTGGTCACTAAGGGTACATGCCACACACATCAGATCGTGGATGGCGTGATCGTGCCCCCGCCCGACTCTCCAGGCGTCGACAATGATGGTTCTGGGGAAGCCTGATTGTAGGATAGCGGGCCTGCGTGCCTTTGATATTTGTATTTTTTGGGCCTGCGTGCCCGTCGGTTGTACGTTATGAACATCGCCGGCCTTCTTGGTCGGTTTATAATTGTTTGCTTTGTCGCCTTCGGGCATTTTTATTTGAATGAAATGCTGTTTTACATTTGAATGTTTTGCCCGTGCTTGAAATCTTATATATTTGCATAAAATTTTAGCCTAAGTCATGGGCCCGAGGAGTGCCCGTAAGTGGCTGTGATTTAGCGAGCGAGTCTGCCCGTCTTCCGTTTGTGTACGTGCCCGGCCCTCTTTCGCTGGCCAGAGTCACCTAAGTGTTGCACTCGAGGGGAGATACTTCCCTTTGACCCTTTTAGATGGCCCGTCATTCTTGACAACTTGTCGGGCATGTGGAGCGAAGTTGCTCAGTCGGGCGTGAAGTCCGGTAGGGACTATTCGCCCTTGGCGTGAACTGCCCATCGCGAGCTGGGTGTTCTACCTTATGGGTACAACGACGGTGGTGCTCGGTGTAGCTGTCCACGTCGGGCACTATCGTTTATCCTCGTTCGCCGAGCGATGTTGTGCGATTTTAGCCGTATGTCGGGCTTGTACCTCAGCCTTCATACGAAGTCGGATGTTTTTCCTCGTTGACCGAGCGCGGGTGCCGCAGGTCGAGGGTCCCAGGTGTTAGTAGTTTTTAACTGTAGTACTGCTTTAGCTTAGCAGCGTTCCAGGGTCGTGGTAATGGCTCTCCGTCTAATTGCTCGAGGTAGTACGCCCCGGTACCAGTGGTGCCGTGGACGCGATAAGGTCCTTCCCAGTTCGCGGCCAGCTTCCCTTCGCGGGAATCCTTCTGGTTCCTACGTAATACCAGGCTGCCGATTTCGAACTCGCGCTTGATGACCTTGTCGTTGTGGCGTAGAGCCACTCGTTGTTTTAGGGTGGCTTCGCGCAGGGCTGCACCAGATCGGATTTCCTCGACTAGGTCGAGTTCGTCCCTTAGTGCCTCGTCGTTCATTTCTTCATCGAGGGGGTTCTCTGTCCGTCGGGATGGTTCCATGATTTCGACCGGGATGACAGCCTCGGTGCCATATGTCAGTCGAAATGGCGTCTCGCCCGTCGTTGAGTGGGGCGTGGTGCGGTATGCCCACAAGACGATGTGGAGCTCCTCAACCCATCCCCTCTTGGCTTCGCCGAGTCGACGTTTGAGTCCTCGGAGGATGACTCTGTTCGCGGCTTCGGCTTGCCCGTTGGTCTGAGGGTGCTCGACTGACGTAAAATGTTGTTTTGTCCCAAGTTTGGTGACGAAGTCCTGGAACCCGTGGTCGGTGAACTGGGTACCGTTGTCGGTCACCAGGGCCCGCGGAATTCCGAATCTGGCGAGGATGTTTCTTTTGTAGAAACGGAGGATATTGTGCGAGGTGATTTTTGCGAGGGCCTCGGCCTCGATCCATTTTGTGAAGTAATCCACGGCGACGATGAGAAATTTGTTCTGGTAGGTTCCTTGCACGAAGGGCCCGAGGATGTCCATACCCCACCAGGCGAACTGCCACGGGGACGACAATATGCTCAGCTCGTGCGGCGGGGCGAGGTGCATGTCCCCGTGCTTCTGGCACTTGTCACATTTTTTGATGTGTTCCTTGGCATCCTGCTGCATCGTCGGCCAGTAATATCCTGCTCGAAGGGCTTTCCTTGCTAAGGATTTACCGCCCATGTGCTGGGCGTTGATCCCTTCGTGTATCTCCCGCAGTACTTCAGGGATGGTGGACTCGTCGATGCATTTCAGGAGGGGGATGGAGAATCCTCTTCGGTACAGTTTCTGCTCGAGCACCACGTAGGAACATGCTCGTCGCTTGGTAACGGCAGCTTCGGCCTGGTTCGACGGGAGTTCTCCTTTTGTCAGGAAATTATAAACCGGGGTCATCCAAGACGTAGCATCCCCGATGGCATGGATCTCGACTGTAGTCGAGGGTTGTTCGATACTTGGACGTGCTAGAGATTCCTGGATGACGGATTTGTTCCCGCCCTTCTTCCGTGTGCTCGCAAGTTTGGACAATATGTCCGCCCTCGTGTTTTGCTCGCGGGGAACATGGGAAATTTCTGCTCGTATGAACTTTGTCATGTATTTTTTGACTAAGTTCAAATACTCGATGAGGTTGTCGTTTTTGGCCTGGTAGCTCCCCTGTACTTGAGAGGCGACGAGCTGGGAGTCAGTGTAGATCTGTACCTCGCGGGCTCCCAGGTCCTCGGCCAGTCTCAGTCCTGTGAGCAGGGCTTCGTATTCTGCCTGGTTGTTTGACGTCGGGAAGGAGAGAGCTAAGGAGTGTTCGGTCACTACGCCTTCTTCGTTTTCCAGGAGGATTCCTGCGCCGC